ATGCAAAAGGAAAATTCACGCCCCTGGATACAATGCAAGATGTCCGGCCAGTTGATGATAGTAATAGTAATAAAAACGAAAAATTAACAAAAGGGAGGAAAACTACTGTAAATGCGTAATATATATATACACAGTACAAATTAACCATATATTTGTACATTTACATATTAATAAGATAACTATTTAAAATCATAATATTATAAACCTTACAATAATATTTAATATAAGCTTTATACATTCTGAAAAAATGACCAGTAATAAAAGCGTTCGCATGATAAAACGATTGGATAAGCAATAAAAACTTCCTTTTTTGATAAACAGCATATAGCATTAAAATAATATATATATATATATATATATATATATATATATATTGTTACGAATTTTGTTCATGCGTAGATAACTTTGGTGAAATATTTTTTTAATATATTGTAACACTAAAATCTAAAGAGAGGATGCTCTGCCGGAAAAATAGAAATACAGGGGCAGGTCTTTTAAACATTGAACTAAATGGCTATCTCGCTAAATTGGTGAGGGCGATGTTTTTGGCGACTAATTTTTGTCGCCAAATTTAGAAAGAAATCTCGAAAAGTCGCCCAAATTGGCCACCATTTGGCGAAATTTTGGTCCGGTCCTTCTATAACTATATTGGGTATTGCAATTGAATAACTGTACTTAATCTATATATGCAACTGTAACCGTATACAGCCCTAAGATGTAACTTTAACCATATATGCCTTCTGCAAATTTTGATAAGTATTATAGATTTCTCGGTGGCCAAATGAAAACTATACAAGACTGGAGAGAGCATCTGCTCTTGGTAATTGTTAGTTCAGAGCTGAATTCGAAGTATTGAGTTATCCGTGTTAGCTTCGCCCTTTAGATGCGCTTTGCATTGCATTGTGTTGAACGTTCTTCGCAGTTTGAAGGGTAATTACTGATTGTGATACTGAGAAGAATTTGATGAATTTTTGTGGAAAGTTCCAGATTTCTCTGAAGTGTTTCTTTTGAGAAAAGAAATTTTATCAAGCGGTCATTGATCCTGTGCGCATTCAATCTATTACGAATCCGTACACACGCAACAATGTATATATAGTAATGTAATTAATATAAAATAAATTACGAAGATTTTTCAAACAATTTTAAAACCCTAGTTTTTATTTGTTTTAACGAAGAAACTCGTTAATAAATTTTTTAAACCTAATTGATGGCTTAGTTCATGTTCTATACAGAGAACGAAAATATTCGAAAGTGTTTTTGACCTAATCAAGATGAGCTTATATGTATTTTTTATTACTTTTTACTGTTTACTGAAGCTTCGTTCTCCAATAGCAACAGTATTTGACAACATTAATACTATTATTAACATTGCTTCGAAATTCGGATAAGATTGAACTTAACTATATTCGAGAATTGTTTTTAGAAGATATAAGGTTGTATCTGTTTTGGTGTTCAAATTTATTGAAATAGCGATATTTTTAAAACTAGATATTTCTTATAGAAATTCTTTACCCTTTATATTATTCGGATATTTCAAGTGCTAAATTAAATTTTTGCTTTAAAAATCAAACAGTTGCGTTTAATTTACTTAAATCGAATGATATTAATATTTCGCCAGATAAAAACTGAAAACTGGAACTTATTTCTTTTAATTTTTCGTATTTGAATTTCAGTTACGAGATTAAAACACCTAACACTTCTTTAATAATCTACTAATGAAAAAAAATATTTTTCTGAAAAACTCGTTTTCTTATTAGTTGTTTCACGACAATCTGCACGGATATAATTTTTCTATGAAGCTGCGGCTATTCCAGCGGTGGCGAACCATTTGGCGCCGCGTGCCCAAAACCTCTTTGATTAAATAAACCATCAGAGAATGGTTTAACAGGCACGTTTTTATGTTTGCCAGTTTGTTTTGCCAGGCACAGTAAAATTTGAAAGCTGGCCGTTGAGTAAAATTTGAAAGCTGGCCGTAAAATTTGAAAGCTGGCACTTGAGGTTGTTAGATGGTTTGTTTTAGAAATAATCGCAAAAAGCAACTTTCTGGTAATTATAATTCCTAAATTTCCCTTCAATAAACACCTTCCGTTCAGCTTCATCAAGTTCGGCAACAATCTTGTGGTTGGTGTTAAAGTGCCGCTTTGACACCAGATTGTACAACACGCAACACTTTCCCGGCACTAAAATTATTCTGTCCAGGTCTCTTGAAATGATCTTCCACTATCAGTGTTGAATTTTTGCCTTTTTTGCTAGTCTTGAGGTTTCACGACATGGAGTATAGAAAAGTAGAAAATTTAAAAATGAAGCATTAAATATAAATCGATCATATACTAAAAGAGGTAACATTATTAGCCAATAATTAAGGAATTGGATTTTCACGAATCAACAAGCTATGGCTTCAGATTCAAATATGAATAGAGGACAGCAGTAACCGTTAACCCGGACATCTCTTGCTAAACTTCTAACTTTAGATTTCATATGCTCCTTTTCGGCTTTATTGGGCTTATTTTGGCTGAGCGCAAGTTTCACATGGTTGGAGCGTAAACTTGGTTTTCCTACTAAGCATTCGTATATTGCTATATTATCATTATATTTGTACATTCCGTTTAAGATATTAAATTAGGATGATTTAAGTTACCTCAAAATGCTTAGATTTAAAAATTGTATTTAACAATGAACGTCTTAAAAATCACTGGCAGTCTGCAATAAATTCAAATTCGTTTAGTAAACATTAGCTGCTTCAACTTTGGCGTATTATTTGCCATGTAACAAGTAATATGATTAGCTCAAACAATTGAAACGTCATGAATTGAGTCAATAAATATGTATATCATTTCTATGGCAATATATGAAAATCTTATAACTAGGATTAGACCCTATGCCAGTGCCATTATATAATAAGTAAGTAAGTGAAACGTTCAATAACAGAATAAAACACTTGTTTAAATTACATAATATCATTTTAATGTGATTATTGATTAAGGAAGTAATATTTTAGTTGCGTGCCGGCTGATGAGGCTCTGCATGCCGCCTGTGGCACGCGTGCCATAGGTTCGCCATCACTGCACTATTCTATACTTTTGAAAGATGTTCTGTACATTGCAATTAGCTTTCTTTACTTTCTAGCGAAAAAATTTTTCTATTGTGCATAAAAGATAAAATTACTAACTAGTAGACATTTTGTTATTTAGTGTTTATCTTGTATTGCAAAAAAAAATTGTTATAATTTTTTTTTTTTGTTTAGTGGATTTGTCTCAATAACCAACCTTCAGTAATTCCATATTATCTAATAATCTCGATTATCCGATCACCATTCATTGTTGTTCAGACAGACAGAATAAGACGAAATATCTTGTACTTGAGTTACCAGATAGCAAGTAATCATTAACAGGATTGCGTTAAAAATATTATTATTCTCCGGTTTTAGTAAAACAAAAATGTGATTATGCTAAGATATTTCAACTGCAACTTTAAACGTTTCACAAGAGAACTTTCGTCTTTCCTCTTCCGTCAGAAAGGCAAATATATATTTCTAAGTTTTCTCTTAAAAGATCAATCCACTATTTCTTAAAACAAAGATATTAAAGTTTTTTCAAGGAAGATAAAATACAAGATAAAAGTAGGCCTGGCATATTTGTTATGTAACCTAAGCTAGAGATCTTTTGAAGAGTATAAAATACTTTTATCGGTCAACGTCAGTCATCATTTTAGTTGCTTGCTTAGTGTCTATGGACTATAGAATGGGTTTCTGTTTTTGTTTCCAAGCCTTTGAGTTTCCTTCTGAAACTAGAGGCATAGTGGATTATAATTTTCCATAAATATAAAACAAAAATAACTCAAATTTCGATAAATCAGATCTTACGCTTTTGATTCAAAATAAGAAGGTGAACAATACTTAATCTATAAGAAGAGATCATAGGTAGCAATATCTCAATTTTTTCCCTTTTGAAAATGCCTTTTTCTAGACATTCTTCTAAAAGCTGATGTAAAAAATGAGCAAAATCTCCTCAACTAAGACAATAAACTCTAAAACTTCGAATTATTGGATCCAGGCATTGACTATTACTCCATATGAGTACATGAGAGAAATGCCTCAATTCCTTACTTGATTTTGTATTAACACTTCATGTGGTAAAGAATATTCGAAAACATTACGGACTCAGACCATTACAGCAATTCAGACCAAAGCGATTACTCGCTTGTTACTAAGGTCTGATGGATATTTATTTAAGCATCTATATAAGGAAACCTTTACAATGTATTTGTAATAAAATATAATTTTGTTTCATGTAAGTATATAATTTTTATTATATACAGGCGAGAAGCCTAATGTCGCTTTAGAATCACTATAGACATTTGCATCATCTTGTAATGGATTTCATAGCTCAGTACCAACATCTATACGTGTGAAAAATTCTTACAATCGCAAGAAAACATAATTTACTCTATCGACGAGGTCATAGCGGTGGAATCGCAATATATTGCTTTATCCTCATTTGATAACTCAAAACTATCTAATAAATTATGAAATACTGCTTTTACCTGTCGTTCTCATTTTTTGCATAAAATTCTTCAATGTAGTTCTGTTATTTCTTAAACTATAGAAATTTCTTAACTATAAAGATATAAGAGAACAATAAAGAGAAAGCATGCATATTTTCCACAGATATTCTAATTATGGACAACAGATCAGTTTTGCAAAACTGCATGCATACTTATTAATCTGTTCTTTCAACTGCCTGTATACGTACCGCTATGTGCCTGTATACTTACCGCGTAAACTACAGATATTTCTTAACTAAAGAGACATAAGAGAACAATAATTAGAAAAGCGCACAGATTTTCCACATATATTCTAATCATAAATAACAGATCACTTTTGTAAAACTGCATATATATACTTATTTAGCTTGCGGCTGTAACTTTGATGGAGTTATAAAGTTATGTGTATAGGTATAGCTGGGCGTTTTTCACTAGATATGAAATAGAAAATGATGAATCTCTTTATTTTTCGAATAATTACAGTAGCAAATTTTCTTTTTACAGATCAGTCAATGTAATGTGAAGGCTGTGAATCTCTTGATGCATGTGGTTTTCCGTAGTCATCAGGAATAGTGCTGAGAGCTCGTTCATCAATATTCCAGTTTCTCTTTAAAACCGTCCGCTAAAGGCAAAAATAAAGCTTAAAAATTTAAAATAATTAAAAATTGTTTTATTATTTGTAAAAAACATATGAAACTATTGCAAAGCAATGCCATTGCATTGTTTCAACATTTTAACCCAAAAGAAAATTTATTTTACTTGTTGGTATACTCTACCTCCTTTCTTCATGTACTAATTCATTTTCAAGACAAGATTAGAATTTTGAATTATTTCATTATGGCTAAACACCCTGAGGTTATTTTATCGGAAAGGATAGCTTTGTAGGCGGCCTTCAAACAAAATAAGCCCATATTTAAAACCAGTAACACCAAATGTATGCAACATTTTCTGAAATTATGCTCTCGTAAAATCAGTTTGAAGAATAGATTCCAAGGGCAACATTTTACTCGGAAACTCAGAATGTCGTTTTAAATGCTCCGTTGATCTTAATTCAGCCATTCAAGAGGAAATGGAAAGATCTCAAGAACAGATGATACGAGTGAGTTTTAATGGATTTCTGCCAGGCATTCAACTCGAGTTACAGAATGAAACGGTAACCTAAATACATAAGAAAAATTTTTGAGGATGTTCAGATTTCGAGGAGCTGCGGAAATTATTTGCCGAATCTTAAAAGCCTTAACGGACATTAAAGAATCTGTAAAATCTAGTATTCTTCAGGACATAAACTAAGACTTTAAAATGACTTGAAGAATTAGCTTCAAGTTTTGCGAAATAAAACAAAAGTAAGTATAATACCCTTTTATTTGAAAAGATGTATAATACCCTTTTATTTGAACACAAGAGTACCAATGACCAAACTTGGGTTTACACAAGCCAACACTTCTGGCTTACCTTAAATACGCAATGTTGAACTAAATCAAATATAATAAATTAGCCTAACGTATCACAGGATAAGGTTATAAGGTATTTCTCCCTCCTTCTTAGTATGGCTTCGTGGTAGTGGTCCGCACACTCGACGCGTATTCGAGAGGCCCGTGATTCGAGTCCCCGGGGGGGGGGCATCTCTCATTTTTCACGTCTCCTGCTTTCAAAAAATTTCCTAATGTCTCTACAAGGTAAGCCGCAGAAAAGGTTTATAGAAAAACCGGCGAGACCAGCCTAATGACTAGAAGCCCACAACGCCACAGAATCAAATTGCTATTAAGCCAAGGTAACAGGGTCAAATAGGCAGAAAACGCTCTAAAATTAACTTGCGAAACCTTCGCTTAAACAGCACTTCTTTTTCTCTCAATCTGAATAAACGCTCGCTAGCTCATCTGCATTCTAGCATGAAAAGAGTGGGTGAAAAGAGAATTACAGAAAAGTAATTGAACTTAAAATTAACTATTAGTTAACAATAAATAGATAAATTCTCAGAAACCTTACGTACTTAGATTATTCATCCACTAAAATTAGAACTGAAGGGAACTTCTTAAAATAAAGGAATATTTAAATATATAAAAAGAGGTCAGAATAACAATAAAAATATTTAAGAATTTTTTTAAAAAAAAAAAACCTTTCTAACGATTTTATTTCCATATTTTTACAATTAAAAAAATATTTTTAATTGTTTCTTTATTATTTTAACAGTAATTTAGACCTATTTAACTTACTATCAAGAAATGACATAAAATATATTTTCAATTATTTCTAAGTAGTTTAATAATAACTAAAAATTGCATATGATATTCTACTAACATCATTATAAGTTCTCAGTGCTCTTTTGCATCTAAATGTAGTTTCCCCAATTGTGTTAAACATGGCGATTTCTGAAATCTCTTTTAATTTACCTTCCCTCTAAACTAACTGAAAGTACAAATTAAGTTAAAATACGGTGGCAGTCATTTGAGAGTAAGATGAAGTGTCTCTTGGATTTCAGCTGATCTCGAATTTAAATTTTAATTCCAAATGCATGTTAGGTTTCCAATTCAGAAAACAATTTGGGTCATTTGTCTCATAATATTATAAAATTATTGTATGAAGCCTGGAGAACTGATATGCATTTAAATAACACTCACAGTGAATGCAAATATAAGAAAATAGAATGTTTTTAAAGGAAACGTTCAAGATTTAAAGCTATAAAAACATTTTCTTTAGTGATACAAGAAAACTAGTGAAAGATCACTTTCTTGCGCTCTTCAAAATAAATTTTAGAGTAAAATCTTTCTTTGAAATTTTCCTAATAAAACAGCAGATAGAAGAAAGGGGAAAAATGCATATGCTGTTTATGAAAAATCGAACTTCTGCCGCAATTCAAATACATAAAATAATTTACATCTCAGAACTAGGCAAGCCTTAAAAAATAAATTATGAGTCTAATAATTTTAAAAAAACTTTAAAAAAATAACTGGTTATACTAGGGACAATATTAGGGCTGCATCAGTGTAGCATATAGTACATACATGAAAAATATGAAAATGTGATAATATATAAATTTTGCAATCAAAATTAACAAACCATTGAATGTTCTAATGGCCTTAATTGAATTTATTTTCTAAGTTATATGTGTGATATGCCACTTCGTGAACGTTTATTATTTAATATATATCATGCTATAGTTGGTAAAAAATAAATACCTTTAACGAGATGCTTTTTGTTTTCAGAAAATGAACTTGACTGGCTAAAATATAGTATTGTTTGATTTCAGCTGTGAAGAAAAATATTTTAGGATTTATATCAGTGGAGAAATTCTTTGTTTAAATCTCATAAACACTCATTGAATATTATTCAAAGAATATATTTATACTATTCAAAGAATATATTTAGTTTCTTGAAAAATGAGAGACGAACTGTACTGAGTCTTATACAGTGTTATAATACGTCATATCATTAGTACTATACCTTTCCTGCAATCCGTGTAAAGAATTAAACTTAGATTATGATACGTTAGTGTGTTGCAAGGTGTAATTTAATTTTATAAGAGTTATTTTAAAACTTATGTCTCTCTTAGCTTCAGCTTACAACTCCCTACCAGAATGAGTTTTTAGAATCGCGTTAAATGCTAATGAGAAGTAAAATAGTATTCAAGTCAAGTTCAACTGATAGAGTTAGGATTCCTGAATAGCGCGCGTTTGCCTTTGGGCTACGTCTCTTTAAGCCGTTATCACTCTCGGCCATATTATGTGCCTTTTGATAGCTTCGCTGGCTAATTTAATATTACGAGCCAACTAGTTTAGAACTGCGTTAGCCTAGCCGTTTCATTAAATCTCTTTAGTCGTCTAAATCTCCCTAGTTAGTCATTAGTTAGTTCTTATTTCTTACATTTTTAGTTTGACTCCAAGGGGAGGCTTTGCTATACGCCCTGAGAGAGGGGCCGACTGTTAACCTTATTTTGAGCAAATAAAGGGTAATTAACCCTTCTCGAGTTTAAGTTTCTGTTTTTGGACTTAAGCGATTATTCGCTTAGAAGTTCACTAGGTTCCTTGACACTTAGTTTAAGAGAACAAAAGTGAAAAACTCTATAATGTGAAACTGAAGTAAGTTTTTTAAGTCCCAAACATTTTCCAAAATAACTTTAGCAATGTATATAAGGCTATGCCTAACTGTGAAGGATCTATACAATAAATTATTTCGAAACTAAAAAAAAAAAGTATTTCAATCTTATTAATCTTAATTCGAGACTAATAGCCCACTACCGCTTAGCAATAATAAGTTGTATAATCTAACTAAACATATAAAAGGAGAAATTTCAAAAGGATGGAGGAAAAAACTAATCGAGTTCTAAATACGATCAGCTCGCATGATCCGCCATTGGGTCGCACGATGCGATAAAGACCTACTCCGTTACTTCTAAGCTTTGAGAGAAATTATAAATTCAGTCAAAGTTCCAAATAAGATATCTGCATCTCTTTTTTTATATACGGCAATACAACAGAAAAAAAAAAGCTTTTTGCCATGTAACATCATGTTTTGTTATTTGTCAAAACTGGTATAGGTTCTAGTTACTGAATATACACCGCTACACTCGACGGCATAGTAGTTAACGAAGGCTGACTACTAGTCCTAATCCGGTGTGGATTCGATTTCCACGTACGGCTTGCTTATTGCGTTGTCTTCCTTCCCCGTCTACGCAGATGTAATATCAGTCACCATCTTTGCACTTGAGCAATGTTCTCAGTAATGAGATGGTTGAGTGACAGACGGATTTTGACATTTCTTACGAATGCTTAATAAGCAAATTCTCAATCAATGGAGAAAAACTAGATACATTCCTCACATTTTCTAATAACAAAAAATACAAGAAAAACCTTGAGTAATTCGGAAAGTAAATACCCAACGTAGAAATGCGATCTTTCCAGGAAGAGGAGTAGTTATGGCGTATGCCCATTCGGGCTAAAGCTTTAAACAAAAATGCAGGTTTATCTGACCCCAAAGAATACTGTTCAAAATATTTGCTTTCCTTTCATTCTTCGTACCATATCTAGTTATGATGAATTTACTCGCGTTTCACTTGTTTTATTATTTCTTAAAGTTTTACTGCACGTTAATTTTAACTTAATCTATTATTTCTCTATTTACAATTACTTTTACGTCATTTATTAATATTTACACAACCCTTCATATTTTACTTAATTTTAATTATTCAGTACTTATTATTTTATCAGTTTAGTTTTTCGCTGTTTCTGACAGTATTCCATAGGGCATAGGACCTTCTAATTTTACAAATCAAGCATTGCCTACAACTGCATATGTTTCTGAAAATTTTTGGAAACGTTAAAGAGAATTTAAAATGAAAATAATAACTTAAACTTATTTATTATTTGTACGGTTTTATTTAATTTTACTAACAGTTAATTTTACTTTGGAAGCAAGCTTTTCTATAAAGTTTCATTTTCAACTCACGCTTTCTTGCCAGAATGAGATTTTAGTTTCGCGCATTATGCAAAATAAGGTAGAAAGTTACTATTTAAACTGCGTCTGAGTTTCTTCAGACACAGCATGTTGAGAGCGTGTTCAGAATGCTTTCTGCCTTTCGGTCAGATACGCTTCTCAGCTAGATATGCGACAATATTATACAATCAAAATCCACTTACTGATCAGGGTTACTCTGCTCAGGGTTACTCTATAGAGACATAAGAATTTTTTGGAAGAAAGAGAGATTAAAAAATATGCAACGCCTTCACCGGCGATCGAACCGCGGACCTCTGGAATACGCGCCAAGCGTACAGACCACCACACCAGGAAGGCATGCCAAGAAGGCGGGAGAAATACCTTATGACTCTGGTTACATGAAGCTAAATTAGAAGAAAATTACTGAAGGCGCAAAATTAGCTATATGAAGATGTGCACCGAAATTGCATAACAATTCAGTAAACACATGAAAACAGTAACTAAGTTGATTGTGTTAAATCTCTAAGCTTACTCAAGTCAGTTTGCAAATCCGTGGTCAATTTTAACTTCCAGTTAAAATTAATAATTGATTTACGTCTTTTCCAGAAGGTTAAATTCTTAAATATAGCAGCGTTAAATGAAACAGCTATTTCGTATTTTCCTTTACTTTTATAAATTCTGCATTCTCAAAATTAATGTGGTTCATCATATGTCTTAAAAGGCATCCAATAATCATTTGCTATATTTTTGGTAATATTAACTTACCACAGCCGTCATGGGTCTCGGTGTTGAGGTAATCTGTTCAACTGTCGGTGGCCTGTAAAAGGGAGCATCTGGTACTGAAAAGGCAGGTTCAGGTCCAGGGCCGAGCCATAAGCCACTGTCATAGGAATACTTTCCAACAGACTGCGAAGAATCTCGACCAAACTCTAGCTTCCGGTATGTCTGCAAGCATGAGTGCAATTGTATTTAAAAATTTTGCAAAAGTATAGAAAGACATTTACCTTGGGCATGCTAAATACTGTTAATTAAATTAAGGATATGAAGCAAAAATATTGACGAGGAAACTGAACATAAATGTTTTCAATATTCTTGGAATTCATTAACTATCAAAAAGAGAAATAAAATTTCAAAAACCAAAATGCTAAAATAGAAACTTATCTTCAAATTATAAAAAATTTCTCAGCTTTTTAGCTGAGAAATTTCAAAATCAAAAACACTAAGCCATAAACATGCATGAGCAAAACATTTTGAGGAGAAAATTCAGAATTTAAGTAAGGATTGAGAAAATTATCTGCTTTAATTTTTTTTGATCAGATTAGCAAATGTCGATTAACCATCTAAGACTAAAATGCGATTTGGTTCCAAAAGTAGGCAATTGTCAATAACTTAAATTTTATTTTAATAAGTAATATTAATGATATTAATGATTAAAGTAATATTAATGAAAGTTTGGCCTTCTTCGTGAAGATAAATATGTAACAAAGCTTAGCAACTGACTGATTGAAAACAATGTGAATGAGATTCCTTCTACATGTTTTACATTAAAAGGGCTACTAAACTAAACTTTTAACTTTCTAAGTCAAAAGTAAAATTTTGAAATATTTCTAATATTTTGAATTTTGAATGTTAGAGTATCCTAATTTTGGGAATAGTAAGAAATGTTTTTCAATCTGATGAATTATTCTAAAAAATATAATCGAATTATATTAGATTTCTAAGTATTCCAAACATGCTCTAAAGCTTTGTATTTTTGAAGCGATCTAGAATCAGGTAAAGAATACTGAATCTATTTTAATTATCTGCATTATTATAATTTTTGAATGTAAGGTGTTTTCATTACAATTTCACTGCTTTCATTTGTTGCTTTTATTAACCTATTTCAATGAATAATGTTTTTGCGATAAAAATTATCGGCTCACTGGCGGCTGAGTAGATAAGACCTTTGAAAAATATTAGTTCGACTCGGCTTCAAAAGCCGGCGATCATTCTGACTGAATAGATGTTATTGTAGATCTTTCGGTGCATGAAGTTAACTAAAAGCCAGGTATCCTCATAAAGTCCTCTATGGAAGCATCCATTAATTTAGACAGGTAGACCAATATGCTTTTCTGGATGTAGTTAGACTAAAAATCTTAGAAAATATCGCTTCGAAGTGATTTAATTGGCAGTTTCACAATATTTAAGCAACTTAATTTAGTTCCAACGTTGCTTCTGTACAAAAATTCAATCTAAAATGAATTAACTAAGCTTTTCACACTTTTCTGCATTTTCTCGAACGTTATTAAATAATTATATGAGTAATTCTAAGATGAACTGTCACAAAAATTAAATAAACAAGTAGAATAACTCTTAAACTATTTCCTGAAAAATTATTCACTAAATATATGTTTCTTATTAATAATGGGAAAGACCACATCGTAATGAATGAATTAAGAACGAATGATAAAAATGCTTAATATAAAAGTTAAAAACGGTTATGAATAGAAAAACGGTTACATGATGTTTTGCTCTGTGCTCGCTAAAGCAAAATTAATTATTCATTTTAACTACACGTTGAAATTTATTATTGAATTATTTACAATCAGGTTGGAACATAATTCTTGCAATTTTAATTAATTATGTTGACACAACAAGAATTACTGAACTAATATGAAAATGCCCGTGTAAAGAAAGACATCTGTTGAAACGATTTGCATTTCATTACATTTGTATAAGATAATCAGAAATTAAGAAGAAGTTGAATACTTTTAAGTGGTCCATATTCCTCAATGCGCGAATTTTCAACTTTCATCAACTAGGAAAAATCCCTAAAAGCACGACGACTTATGTCCCGGAATGAAATGAAGGATGTGAAAAACTTCTTTAATGAAACTAACCACAGGCATTCACGAGAAGAATACCTTTAACCTGGTACAACAGTAGAACAACAGCCATAATGCCGGGAACAATTTCAAAAAATAATAAATGTACGTGTCTATACAGTTCTCGAACTTACATGTAAATTTTGACCATGTTTTGGATTTAGATATAAATGAAGCAATGAAGCATCTATAGAAAGAGAAGTTAAAAATTAACCATACTTATAAAATGCTAAGGGAAAACATAACCTTTAAAATTGCAAAAGAAATCTCAAATTCTAATAGAAAGGAAACAATATAAGAGAATAAAGTTTTCCAACATTTTAGAAAGGTGTTAGAAAACCGTTTTATAATGTAAATGGTTTACAAGAAACTAAAAAATACGAAATTTACACAGATTCAAGAAAGAAGTAATAAAGTAAAAAAAAGGCTAGCTTAGCATAAAAAATGCTAAAAGGAAGCAAAAACAACAAAAAAGGGGTGAAAGATTTTATTAAAAGAAAGTTTTTATCAACTTCGAAAAGATATTTTAAATCAATAAAGCTGTTAATCAAAACCCAAAATAAAGAAAATTACAAAGATTTAGACAAACTGAAGCAACATTAAAAAGAAAATGCATCAAGCTCGAAGTAAAGAACAAATAGAAGCTTATAATAATATGAGGGAAAAGTATACCAATTAGAATAGTATTCGGGTCCAAAATATAGTCTGGTGGGAAAAAAACGAAGATTAAAAAACTGCAATATTCTTCACTGCTTGGCGCTGGAGGATGAACAAAAATATGCAGATGGAAATGTATCGAGGCATGAGAGCTTATTCTTCGCAATTTCAAAAAGAACAAATACGTGATGACTGGGCTGAAGAATTTAATTATTTCGATGTTTTTCTTTCTTAGTCTCATACAAAGCGATCTTTCACGGGCGTTCTGTTGCTTTATCGTTAATGAAAAAGTGCTCGCTATTGCATTGGAGATTTTCTGAGAAACAGCCTCTCGTTACATTGTTTAATAATAATGAGTGAAGCAGAAATTCTTGATAAGTATAGCCAGCAATACACGCACATTTTACTTAATTTTTTTCATGAAATGCTGCGCAAAACAAATTTATTTCCTTTAGTTTATTTGTCAATAAAAGAATCAGTTTGTGTTTGTTAGAATGTTAGATTTTAGGAACTGATGTGTGAGGAAAAATTTAATCTTCCACACACATGGATCCAATTTATTTAAGAAATTAAAAACTGTCCTTTCCTGCTGCTGTATTAAGCATTCTTTTAAAATAAAATCTACTTTCAAATGAAAATGATATTTTGTCATTTCGAACTGGCTCAAGGAGGAATAAAATTCAAGTTTAAATTTTTAAATTAACTGTAATTCTTGCTCTGCAATTTAAGTATCTAAACATTATCAAACTGGAATCAAAGTTGTGGATGGTGTATCCAAGTCTCAGATTCTAATCCTTCGATTCTCAGGTTTAGCAGAAATTAAACAAGCAAAGCCGTTAAATATTGCGTTTGTGGTTTCTCAAGATTTTTCTCATATGCGATGTAAATGCAAGCTAGTTTCCTGTAAAAAGTCTTCCACGGCGGCCGGCTTCACTTTCCTTAGGGAGATAACCCTCGTGACCTTTACCACATTCAATTAACCTATCTTAATCTATATTACATTATGAAACAGTTTAATAGCTTCTTCCTGATGTGCTGCGATGCTAGCATTACAGTATTACCTAGAACTGCAAAATCTAAAAGTTAAGAGAACTTCTGGGATTACACGAATTTTTTAAACACATAACTGCTTTTCAGTAGAAAAGGTTAAACCTTAATTCATCACTTTAAACTTTGAGATATTCATTCTGTTACTCCTTGTTGTTGTTGCTGTTAGCGGGTAGACTATGCACTTATACTCCTTACATTTTGATTTATTAATATTATATTTTATTTACATTATAACCCCTCTAACCATTAAAATTTCATGGCTAAGCAGATATTAACCATTTTTAACCTTCCGGTTTAGTAAACTGTTTTGCTGTTCGGGTCTCAGCCGGAACCAAGTCATTGTAAAACAAATTAAATTAGAATCATCATTGTCTCCGAATTTTTCAAGTCTAAATTTTCAATGAATATTACATTCACAGTTTTAATTATACGCATATCTTTGTGAAAGAAGCGTGTATCTACTGCATTTTCATGCAGGTTGTTTATACTTTTAAAAAATATAGGTTGTTTCAAATTTAATTTTGTGTACTTCATTCCATTTACATCATTCGATATCTATAAAATTATAATTTGTGATTAACATACCTTAAAAATCTATTGATATTCATAAGATCTAATTTGAAAATGTTCAAAATTTAACAAATAGCGTTAAAAGTAAATTAATTAATCAAAGTTACATTTTATTTCAATGGAACTAATAGAATGTTTAAAAATTAATATTTACCCGGCTAGTGAGATCCGATGAAGCCTTTGGCATCAAATATAGACGTTTTGCTGTGTATCCTATTGTTATAATCAGAACAACTACCATCAACAAAGTGAAGCATAGCACAATCAAAGCCACTATCGTTATGTCCCACGTTTCCGCTGTTTGACAAATAGCACTTAAAATTATTATAGATTTTCAAGCTCACCATATAATACACAGACTTATTTATACGTTTTATTTACATATAAACAGAATGAATATATACCTATTAAATATTTAAGTTTTATAAACAGTTTAATCAATACAAACACAGTTTTATTTAAGGAATTTTCACAAGTTCATAAATAATAAACACAAGCACTTTATGTACTTTATTCAGAATCCTATTCATGCATTTGGATCGGACTGACTTGAAGTTATACAATTTTCTGAGCGCACACGTATTTTCTTTTATATATAACAGTAATTACTTAACGATTTCTGTACGCCGACGCTTTCTGTCTAAATATCGTATTTTCATTCTTCTAGTCCCAATCTCAGAAAAGAATTAAGAAGGACATGTATTTAGTTTCACTAAAAACATTCCATTGAGCGAACTTTCGCTCAAAAGATATGTATTTTATTCACTAACAACTTTTTATTCATTAAGTAAGGTTTTTGTGTGGCCACAACAGAATGTTTAGCTTTGTTGTGTGTAAAATAATAGAGATTAGTACAATCATTCATTTCATTCATTGGTGCGTTTTCTTACATATTTATATTCCAATGCAAAAGTTATGTGATCGAAATCGTTTTATCAATTTAAAAGGAAACGATTAAAGTATCTCAAATTTTTTTTCCTGTATTTTACAGTTTACATTATTAGCTAGAGCTTTGAGGATTATATGAATTTTCTAAGCACCTAATTCCTTTTTAAAGAAAAGTATAAATCTTTTAACCTGAAGATATTCGTCACTTTTACCTTTAATATAGTCATCATTCTGTTAATTCTTGTTTTTGTAATAGTTAAAAGGTAGGTAATTTTGAAACAGCAAATGAAAGATGAAAAAGGAGCAATGTCTTCGCCAGGACTCGAATCTGGATCCCTCGAATACGCCCTAAGTGTGCTACCATCACACAGCGAAGGCATGCTGGAAGGAGGGGAAAAATACACACCTTTTAAATTGCAGTTGGAGATTATGAGACCCAACCGCCAAACCCTGGTGGTGACGAATTATTGCCCGCCACCTTTTTAATCCGGGTGCCACTGTAGAGACATTAAGTATTTTGAAACATGAAAAATTAGCAATGCCCTTGCCAGGAATCGAATCTGGACCTCTATAATACGCACCGAGTGTGCTGTAGTTGTTTCTGCTTCACTCCTTCATTTTTCATTTGATGAATTTGGTGATGAATCTGGTGACGGAAATAAATGCTTCATCAAAGCAGCTGAATGTTCTATAGAAGCTTTTTATGGCGTTTTATTTAAGTTGTTTAATGAATTCATCAAGTCTATGATGATTTTCTTGACCCTGCTATTGATGTAAAAATCGATATTTTCAGAAAGAGAACTACTTATTTCAGATTCTTGGTCAGTTAACTTCTCTCGCATAAAGTTGATAGAAATATATTCTGTTCGTAAAGTGGCTTGTTTTTCACCCATAGCGTTAAGTGCCACTTCAATTGGTTTTAACGCCAAGACTATCGGTTTTATTTATACCAGGTTTAAATTTGTTAAAAGACGTTCAGATCTAAGTTCAATTAGTACATCCCTTGTAACGTCATACAATTTTACAAATGTTTCAAGCATTTCCAGCATTGAATTCCATTTGTTTTTACAATCCGAGAGAGTTGTTGCTCTATCTGTATTTTTCTCTACATTTAGACTTGAACAAATCTGAACGCACAACAGATTTTTGAAAAAAAATTACAACTTGTCTCACAATATTTATGTTTTCCTTGAACGATTCATTCTGTAATTCAGTTTCATTAACCCTTTGCACTCGAGCGGTGCCTCTCTGGCACCACTGCATGTGATGCGATAACTCGAGCGGTGCCTCTCTGGCACCATTCGAATCGATGTGTTTATTTATTTTGACCTAAGGAATATCACTTGATAGATCTACTTGGCATTTTTTAGATCATATTAAGAGATGTCTGAATAGCTATAAGGATGTCTTATCTCAAATAAAGGTTGTCTTTGCAATGCTTATGCGATTAAATATCTTATCTCAAAAATACTTGCGACCGCGGGTAGGACTCTGTCTTCGACATCAGTTCGAACTCAACCTTCTTGCCGATCGCAGTATTCCTTTCAAAGTTACTGAGCCGAAAGTATGAACACGACGAGTTACTTCTAGCGAAAATGAGTTTAATTTTCGGCAATAACGAACGAAATTACATCACTACATAGACAGCTTGCCCATGAGAACGAAGACGGAAGTGATAAAGATAGTGACGACGTCAGAGGAGCAAGAAGACTAAAAATACGAATAATCGATGGTGAAATCTGGAAGCCAAAGTGATTGTACAGAAGAGACTGAACCTTCAGAATGGACAGTGTGCACAGAAAAGCGCCTCGAGCGCAAAGGGTTAATGCTCAAACCATTATCAACATCATCAAAATCATCAGTCTCTCCTGAACTTTCTTCTATACTTTCTTCTGTCTCTGATTTTTCTTTATAAAAAGTTTTTGCGACCGCCAAATGCAAGGCATGCGCAAGACACGTTTGATAAAAAGCAGGTGATTCTTTTCCGAATTTGATCATAACACTTGCTCGATCCCCATTAGTGGATACAATATCGTACTTAAATGATAAATGATAGACCAAAAGATTCGAGGTGCTCCTTCTACGAGTTCTTGCTCTTTTATTTTTTTTTTTTTTTTTTTCCCATCGCAATTTCCAAAAATTCTTACCAGTCCAAGATTGATGCTTTTTTGGCAGGCAGTATGCAGATTTATATTCGGGAATCTCCGGTTACCGATTCTGGTCCATTCATCCATGGTAATGGAGAATTTCTTTGATTCCGCAATATGTTTTTTAATATCATTTTTGATTTTTTGTTTCACACTTTCCATATTGTTATAAACAAGAGCTATTACTGATTTTTCGTTGGCTGGAAGCTTCATACCCCTTAACGCCAATGATTGTCTAATAAACCCTGACTGAGTGATATGACGAATTGATAAACCATCTACTGCAGCCATTTGCAACAATCTCTCATGATGTTTGATTACGAAATTATCCAAAGTTTTTATTTTTTAGCTGTCGTTTCTGTCTCTGCTTTGTCAACGTCAATGTCATGAACGCTGCTTAGATGACGACGCATTGTTGACGTATTTCCATTTAAAATGGAAATTTTTTTATTGCACTCATTGCAGCATGCATAATTTTGGTCTGCCTTGGCGAAATAACTCCAAACGGTTGATCTTTTGTTTTTCGGCATGATTACTATTCTAGAAAAAAATCGAAAATACTATTCTAGAATATGCGTGTATTCACAGCTGTAACTCTAATAATATTAACCATTTTTACCAAAATATTGCTAATATTTCGACTAAATTTGGGTTGAGATATTTGTAATCGCATTCTTACAGGTTAAAAGGAAGTATAGCTTTTTATCACGTCCGATGCATTAGCTTTCTGTCAGGTCCGAAGTATTCCGAAACTTAATCCCATTCTATTTGTTTATGATTTGTTAAAACATTATCTGCTTGTACCTCTGTTTGTATTTCTACATAGACATTACATTCTCTGCGTATTACAGAGTAATACGCAGAGAAATACATTGCGTGTATTTCTCTGCGTATTACTCTGTAATAAATGTTTGTTTTGCGAAACACTGCATTTTCAATGTTCAACAATTGTAATTTGTTTTTTTACTAATACTAAGAATCATTATTTAATTTTACATACACGTTCTACTTAAATTAAAGTATATTGTTTCTATCGGCAAAGATTAAAAATCCTTGCATTTCTAGTTCTGTACTGTATGTACTATAGGCGGAACAAATCATCTCTTTACCAAAGCAAGTTTCACATTCAGTAAAAGCACTGGTAAAGTAAAGCATTATTTTACTCTATATATTTAAATCCTTTTATGTTTAACTTTACTATCCGCTACAATTACAAAAGTTTTAGTTTTTATGTACTTTAAAAGGAGCAGTTTTATGACACCAATAAAATGTCTTCTAGGATTCTTGAGAAATATGTTGACAAATAAATTAAAAATAAAATGCAGAACGAAAACCATATTGTATGTACAGAGCTCGAAAGCCCGTCGGGCTTTGATTCGAGTATCCAGTACTCGAAAATGACCAAAAATTATCGAGTATCAAGCTCGAGCCCAAGCTCGTTCCAAACTCTAGGGCTACAGGTTGCAAGAATAAAACTTCTGCTCTTTAGTAGCAGTACTAACGTTAGAACCATGGAAATTCTGGAAATTCTTTATGTCTATAATCATGATAGCTGTCATTGAAAAGCACAAAATGAAAACTTTTATTTTATGGTTTTAAAAATATGAACATATTTTTAATGATTGTTAAATGGTGGATTTTGTAGAGTCATTAGGATTTTTTCGAAGCCAGAGAAATGAAAAATATGCAACCGCCTTCGCTGGGAATCGAACCACGGACATCTGGAATACCGGCCCAGCGTGCTACCGTTACACCACGAAGGCACGCTAGGGAAGTGGGAGAAATACCTTATATACTCCCCTTTTTAAAGGGTGACTAGGGCTTTAGGGGACCTAGCCGCCAAATTCTGGGTGCGGAGAATCATCATCCACAACCCTTTTAGTTCGGGCGCCACTTGTAGAGTCATTAGGTTAATTGGAAACAGAAAAGATGAAAAATATGCAACCGCCTTCGCCGGGAATCGAACCACGGACCTCTGGAATACCGACCCAGCGTGCTACCGTTACACCACGAAGGCACGCTAGGGAAGTGGGAGAAATACCTTATAACTTAGCATCAAAATTACACATTCAACAACGGAATTGCTTTAAAAAGTGGTCTGACAACTTTAAAGTAATTAAAAACATTCAGTTGATGTCATATGCACGTCATATGTAGACATAGCGATAATTCGCTTCACGACAGTTAGGGTTACTGAAAGAATCAGCATTACCAGGTCAAGTGCAACCCTACAGACTTTTAAAATAAAGTGCAAAAACATAA